TATTTTCCAGCCGAACTAGTCAAACTTCATTGTTGCGGTTTTATATGGATTTTCTGCAATAGTGAAGGCTTGTTGATAAGTGAGGTTGCAGTTTTCAATCAAGAATTGGACACAGAAATGTTTTATCAAAACTTTCAAAATTTCAGGATATTCTATTTGAATGCGCGAGATTCTTAATCAGTCATTTATAATAATAATTGAATTGGTCCTTTTTTGTAAGCAGGCGAAGTTTCGTACAAGGATTTGAAAAGTGGAACAGCAGGAATTGGCAAACCATAGATGCACATGTATTGTCTGAGTTTCCAAAATACAGCATAGAGGATCTTTTCATGATAACATTGGGTCCATTTCAATTGAAAATGGCGTAAGGATACTTCTTAGAACATTCTTCCGTTGATGTATCATTTTACATTCAAGTCCAGCGAGATTCAACTTCCATATCAGAGAAGGCAGATTCTTTATCAAAGGTCAAAGTTTTAGAGTCGGTCTTCGAAATTGAGTGAACCGTTGATAAATCAGAGAAAGTGTTCAGTCATAAATGATCCCCAATGAGTTTTATCTGGCTTGAGAAAATGAGTTTGAGCTCGGTATATATAAACGGCGCTCCCTGCGCCCACTTTGTCCGAATACCGGGTCGTTCTGTAGCTACACAACGATAACATTTATAACAAAAATAATATTCAGAATATTCATATTCAGATAGGCCATAGAAAAGTTGCACTAGAATAATGAGTTTGATAAAAAAATATAAACTCTAACATGGCCAAAAATGCGTCCGAAGTTCCAACTTTGAACGCGATTTTCTCGAAAACAGTCGACCGGACCAAATTTTTAATTGGACTTTTATGCTCAGTTTTTATGCCTCTACAAATTAGCAAAGACTCGACTCTTAACCCAAAAGGAAAATTTTTTGCATATACTCCTTTGATGATAATTTTTCATACATGTTTTCTCATCATGATAGTTTATGTAGGCCATTGTGCATCATTTGCATATCTTGTATCCGGCTTGTGTGATAAGTAAAGTTTTCATTTAGAAAGGCTAGTATAAATTAGCAAAGACTCGACTCTTAACGCAAAAGGAAAATTTTTTGCATATACTCCTTTCAAACACACCATAATGCAAAATTATAATTATTTTATTCAGAATTAAAAGATATACAATTACTTTTTCTGGACAATGTACTAATGTAACACTTAAATTTATTCAAATAAAAATCATACTTAAAATAAAATGACACTTATAATTAAAATCAAAATTAAAACATAAAATTAAGAAAACGTAAGAAATCTCCAAGATCTCAAAACTTGTGGAAGATATCCAATTTAGTCTGATAATTTATTCTCTCATAATGGGCACACCATAAGTAAAAGAACTTCGAACGAATTTCTTTTCAGAGGATAAAAAAGGATTAATAAACTGTACTGAAAAAATTAAGAATTATTAGCAATCGGTATCAGTATTAAATTCAGTAAATAAAATAAAAGGAATGTATGGGCAAAATAGAAACTTTTCCTCTTTAATGGTCTAGGAAATCTTGAGCAGCATTTATATATGTTATTGAAACATATAAAAGAATCTGAAAAACTCAGACTGATAATTACTGACAAAAATACTTAAATGAAGAAATCAGCACGTAGGATTTTGCATAACCTCGTCTGCCTTCAGAAGAGG